TTTCCCATTATGATTTAGTATGCAAGTCATAATGTTCCTTGTGTTTCACTATAACCTATACTATAAACTTTGACTGTTGTGCACAATGATCAGCAGGTAGCAGGCTAGAATGCTTTGAAAATTACTACTTTAATATTTCCATTGTACAACTTATGTAATGAAATTACCCTAAACATTACTTTTCCCCATTGTAACCATGTTTCCAGTTGTAGAAGAGAGACTGGGGTTTATTTTTCTTTTTTAATTCTAAAAGACCTTCTCTTAAACACACATAAGGGAGTCCATAGCTTGAAATTAAATATATTAAAGGAATATTCTAATTTTTTAATTGAAATTTGAAAAATCAGTAAAATCTAAGTTAGAATTTCTCACTTGGGTACACATAAGTGCTACTGCAAATTAAAAATTCTTGCCATTATGATTTTATGAGTGACTGATTTTGTAGAAACATTGAATAACATTTTTAAAAATTGCCTTAGATTAAAGGAAGCTTCTTAGATTAAAGAAATTAGACACATTAGAATTATATGTGCCCTTTGATGTTCATTAGACCTAGCAGACATCTTTCTGTGAAGCAGCAAGACTAATTTGGCTGAGGCACAAGCAGTATGGTGACCTGAAACTGGAAGTGGAAGTCTAGAGAGAGTGGAGATGTAGTGCCAACTTACAAGAACTGGTATAGAACAACAACATGAGTATCTGGAGAAAGAATCAGAAAAGCCAGGGATATTAAAAAAAGCAAAGCAAACAAACAACACCCCCAAAACAAAACTACAAAGAAACCTCAGCAAAACATATTATGCTTCTAAGATGGCAAAGACTTAAGAATTAGGGCTAGAGTAAGAAAATAATAGGTTATACACTGCTTTTCAAAGTAGCTAGTTTTGCTGAAATTCATCCAGGGGCATTTAAGATTTATGGCTACAGCAGATCTCCACTATGGCTGCCAATAATGGTAGCCAGTAGTTTTGAGAAGTTGCGGAGAATGACTGAACACTGTTAGGTATGGCATCTTTCATTAAAAAAGGAAAAAGAGGAAGATGCAGAGATTTACAAACTGGTTGCCTAGCTTCAGTTATCAACAAATAACAACAGAAGAATAAGGGCTTAATGATAGAATATATTCATCAATAACAAATCATGTCAGATTCTCTTAATTTATTCCTTGAAAGGGCAGAGACACTATGGATAGGGAGTAAACAGTAGATGTGGTGTATTTTTAACTTTCACACTATGTGAAACGACTTTTGAGATAAGTAAGGAGATACGGACAAAGATGAAATGATATGAGACTGTTGACAATTCATTGTCAAACCATAAAGATGTTTCGGTGGGGGGCTCGACACGTCCCAGTGTGTCTGGGGTGATATTCAGTGTTGTGAGTCATTCAGATGATGGAGTGGAGAGCATGCTTAATAATTTCTCATTCAGCATCAAGCTGGGAGGATCTGAAAGCATTTTGGAGGACAGGATTAGAATTCAAAATTTTTTTCAACAGACTGGAGAAATGGCCTGAATCAACCAAGAGTGTTCATGTGTAATCCCTCTGGTATACTCAGCTTGTGGTAGGTTTTGACAAGATGGGGATAGTTCAGAGTAGGTCAGCAGGAGTAGTGAGAGACCTAGAAAGCATGGTCTGTGAAGAAAGGTTGAAAACTCAGGGTGGTCAGTCACGGGGAGGGAGGTCTAGGAGCCTTCAAATACATAACAGGCTGCTGCAAAGAGGCAAGGAATAAACTGTTCTCCATTTCCAGTGAAATAAGACAGGAGTAATGAGCTAAAATGACAGGCAGGAAGATTTAGAACAAACATTAGAAAAAAATTGCTAACTGTAAATCCTGGAATATATTGCCTGGAAATGCTGAGGGTTTTCCATCATTAGAGATTTTTACAAACAGGGGAGACAAAAATCTGTCAGAGAGAATTCAGATATAGTTGAATTTATTTTGGATTAGGGGAATGGATCAGATGGCCTCATAAGATTCCTTTCAGCTGAGTTTTCTGATAGTTAACTGTTTGGTGTAAGAAAGCCTCCTGGAAGATTTTTTTTCATAGGTCCTAGTCCCATTTCATTCTTGAAAATAGTGCAGAGGACCTAATGAAAATCTAGGTGAAAGACATACTTATCTTTTACCACTAGCCTTGGTATTTCCATCACTTTAGATGTAGAGGTGAAAAAAAATCATAAAGTGTTGCAGTTTGTTGTGTATCTTTTGTAAATTTACTTAACTATGGCACTTTTGATATGGTCTAGGAGAAGCCCATAGACTGAGACTACAGGCACCCTAAACTGTATTCATTGGGTGTTATGTTTGAGTGGTTTGAGCTCAAAAGCTTTAGTGTGGTTCTTTTGGATATAAAGATTTATTGCAGGTATTTAATATGAGACTCATGAGACAGTCAGTTATCGTGGTCTGTTCAGTAATAGAGTCTTAGAACCCCCTGGGTTTTAAAATAACATTCAGTACTCAAATGGTTCCATCCAAATAGTAGCACCATTAGATGTCAAGGGCAACTTTGGGCAGGCCACTAAAATAAAAAATTGGCAAGAGAAGTAATTTCAAACTCAAAGATGTAGATTGGTGTCTTAAAGTAATTAGCAGTTCTAGCCTTGTGGTTGGAGTCTGCAAGAAACTCAGTAAAGCAAAATATTATGAAGAAATTATACATTGTGAGTTGACGTAGCTCTTTCCATGGAAAGATCCTTCTTCCCTTTTCTTTAGAGTGTGTCCACAGAAGAAATTGTGTGCTTTGGCTCCAAGAGGGGCCGAGTAGAACCTGTTGTGTTTCTGGAACACAGGATGGGTCTGGCTAAAATGAGTCCCCATTGCTCTACCTCCCTCCTTTTCTCCGAGTGCTTTACAGTCCCTGGTGCAATGTATGCTCCTGGCATAGCGGCCCCTCCTTGGACACTGAAAGTCTCAGACCCAGAAACTCACACCAGCCCAAGTCCTTACTCCTCCTCTAACATTTTTAGCTGCATTCTCTCATTCTCTGGCAATTCCCAGTATGCTCTGGTCTCTACACAAATGCTAACCATTGCCTCCACCTTTCTTCAGCTAGCAATGAGGCTCTTTGGTCCCCTTTATTCTGGCTATTTCTAGTTAAAACAAGTGGTGGCCCTTGCCTATCTGAAAGAAAACCTTGTTTACATCATCAAGGGGGGGAACGCTATATAAATGTTTATAGACAGCATTCTAAAGACATAAATTAGGGCATACTGGTTTTGAGTGTATTATCTCAAGCTGTGACCGCCAAGAAAAACAGGCCTAGCCATAATTTTACTTTTCCTAAGTATAATACCTTGTATTAATAATTATAAAATTTCATACAGGCTTAAGTGGTTAAGTAGGTTGTTGCCCTGGTTTAGAAGTACATATCTGCTTAATGGTGATTATAGCATCACAAGCTGTAATTCAGAACTGCAGGTTTCAGCAAAGTAATCTGATATTTGGGATAATATGGATTTGGATCCATCAGCTGGCATGAACTCTGCACCTTTTTGCACATTTTTGAGTCACATTTTATAGATCAGACACTGCTTACAGCTGCATAAAATATCACTATATAAAAAATACACAGTTATGAAATGGTGAACATAATTGTTGACAGAAGATCATGAGACAAAATGTTGTCTTAAGAAAAGAAAGTTTGTGTATGTTTGGTGGGAAAAAGAGTGGAAAATAAGCAAGTTATAGAAATGAAGAGAGGAGAGTTTTATGTGTTTGCAGGACAGTTTTATGTGTTTGCTATAAGCAGGCACTGAGGAAGACAGCTCTTCTTGCAGCAAACAGCTTTCTCTAAATGGGGAAAACCGACAGTCTTTAAAAATGCTCGTTATTATCTGCCTGCACATTCTGGGTAGTAGATCATGGAATGATGTTTGCTTTATATGCCCAGAGAAGGGTCTGAAAATTAAGTCATGTAACAGGCAGGATCCTGGGCCGTGACCTCGGAGCCCAGTTAATTCTACCAGCCCTGCTGAAAACATTTCCATATGGATGCACTGACAACTTTACCATAAAACAGAATTTGATGTTTGTTAATTTATGCAACCAAGTGGGTAAAGGATGCGCACTTTTGTAAATATTTTGAAAGAAATATAGTTAATACTGAAAATTGGACTTAAAGACAAACTAATAATCTGGCTGGCATTACTAGGTACTCTCATGAGAGACCGGGTTCAGGGGCAAGTTTTAGGATGCATCACTGAACTTTGTTCTCATTCTCTTCTGCATGAACTAGGATTCAGATTTTGGCCTTTGACCAGTGTTCAGGAGAGCAGTCTTTGAAAGTCCTTGTCATTCACACAGATTGACGGCTAATCATGGATGGTTCTGTGGTGGAAAGTTGCATGACTTGTAAAGCCATTTTAAAAATACCCTCTTTTTTCCATTTAGCAAGTGAGATTTACTAAACCAGCAATTTCTTCAGTGGCTTGAGTCTATCAGGCAATAACTAAACTGAGCAAGTGGATATATGAAAATGCTCCAGAAGGACAGGTTTGACACTGTCACCCGTGATTTGTTCTGTTTCACAAAGCAGGCAGCCTGGACTTAGAGTTACTATCAAGTATTACTAACGAGACCCTGACTGCTCTTTACTGTTAAATTTTAATGTATTTCCAAAGATAGGAATGTAAAAAAATATTTTTTCTTTTAACCTCTTCTACATATGAAGATTTATTTTTTGTATTTTTGGAGGCAAGAAACTGTAGAGACTGTTCGTCAATGTATGCACTACAGTAAACGCCATCACGTTCCTAATTCCAATTCTGGTTCTTGTCAGAAAATGCAACATAAGTGACAGTGATATGTTATCTGGCCTGGCTTCTTGGTGTGATTTCATTCCTCTAACTATGATTCTGCCACACGTGGCTCTGACGTAACATTCAGCTGTATATCTTTGGAGTAAACAGGAGGCATTAGGGCCTCTTCACCTTCATAACTGTAACACAGAGACCTACTGGAAGGTCTATGAATGTCTTTCATTTGTTTCAGAGGACCATCCAAAACAGAAATTGTAATGGAGGATGAGGAAATGCAGCATCAAAAATGGCTGAATCTGCACTCAGACTGGAAGAATAAAAATGCATCCGCTTTACATGCTCTTCTAGTGAGTGGGTAAGTAACATAAATGAGATTTGTTTCACTGCTGTAGCTAGTCATTTCTCAATGGAGGATGATAAACTCCCTTTGGTAAGCTCTTTCTTTCCCAGGGTATCTGTACATAAATCCCAGCACATAGTCCTGTGAGTTGTTAAGATACAGTCTATAATGATTTTAGTGTCTGCTACAACTGTAGTCTCTTTTGAGTCTGCCTTGTGAATCCTTAGGGGCCCATTCTGGTAGATCAACAGCATTTGAGTGACATAGAGATGATGTCCATGAAGCACCTGGACCAAACAGCTTCATGAAATGTCTGCTGACCAAGTCTAGCAAGTACTGTATAGCCAAACCTGCAGCAACATCTTACTGTCCTCTGCAGCCCATGTAGTTTGGATTCATACATTTGGAGTGACCACAGATGCTTCAGCAGAAGCTATATCCACTTACAGTAGGTTTCCTTAGCAGCTCCTCTGGCTTCAGACGGTGGTATATTCCTTTTAATTAACTCGACTGAACAGGTAGTTGGTAATGAGAAGCTAGGATCTCATGGTTGAGACATTCAAAGTGTGACTTTGAGACTGAAGAGCCAATGAACTTAAACATCCAGGACAAAACTAGGAGAGCCACCTAATCCTCATCTGCAACCGCGTTCTTCAAAAAGCAGATTAATTGTTTCCCTGTTCTCTTTCAAATGCCTAGGAGATTTCAGAACATCCTTCTTCCATATTAAATCCTTCTGTTTCACCAGGAAAGACTGCTTGGCTAAATGCAGAGGTACAACATGTGTGAAGACACACATCTGAGGAATACACCTACTTTTCTTTGGCTTGGCTCCATTTTTTTCTGTAATGAAACTTTTCTGTAATGGCAGAATACTAAAAAGATTGTGTCTGCAAATATCTACTTCTGCTTTCCTACAGTTCAGCTTTGTACCAGTTCTGTTTTACATTAGTATTTTCCCCATTCATTTATGTTTATTTTTATTTCTTCATCTAGAAGGGCCATTAGAGGATGGTGCCTGATACTTGAAAATTTTCTAACTTTTTTCTTCTCTTTTCTCACTGTCTCTCCCATTAGCCTAATGGTATATAAATGCTTTTCTCCAGAGTAATACAAGAATAAACACCTTGGGTTGTGACCAGATGCAAAGGCAGGTCCACAATCATATTCTGTTCAGTCACTGAAGTGCAAAGCAAAGATTTCAAGGTACTTTGCTATGTTTGAAAGTGGTCTGCTGGGAAGTATGTGTGAAGGGATAGTTTTGGAGCCTCTGAGTTACAAAATCTAGTAGCAGAACATCTAGTTTCACCCAAAGTACAAGTTAAAGGAGAGAAAGCATCAGTAATTAGGATCGTTGATAAAGCTATTACAGAGATGAAAGTAGTATGTAGGAACAGATGTTATGTGTGCAGGCCATGCACACATAAAAGCTTAAAGTTTTCTCTTTTAGAGCCAGCTACCTGATAAGTCAAAAAAATGAGTGTGCATCAGGACTGTGGCTGGTCTCAGTGATATTCTGTTTTCTTTTTTAATGGAGTGTGATGCCCCTCAAAATTGTGCACAGAATTTTCTTTCCTGAAATTCGTTGTCTATCTCCAGAAACAGAATTTTATGGTCTGTATTCTCAGGAACAGAAAGTAGGCTGGTTTGCATGGTATGCAAATAGGGCATATGCAAGGTAAGGGACAGAGGTCTGGTCAAATCACAGATTCAAGCTCGTCTGGTGAGCTTGCTGGCACTCCGTTGTTGTGCCCACATTAGTATCTGTGACTTAATCTGTAACTTAAAATCAGATGCAGCCTCTTTTTAGGTGTTTGCAGTTTTAAAGGTACTGCCTACCTCCTGAGGTTACAGCCTTCAGAGAATTACCTGGGGAACAGCTAGCCCGTGTATCCAGTCTAATTTAGCCCTGCGTCTGCCTCAGAAAAGCACACATATGGTAGGAATGAAAAAGTGGTGGAAATAAAAAGGCGGTCAGCAAGCTGAGCAACAATGCTCACTGGTTTAACAAGGGTCTCCCTTCCTTTGACAAAGACTCACTTCTTCCCTCTCTCACCTGAAATTTTTCAGCAGAAATGATATTTTTTTGTTGGTTTAATACTTACTTTTGCCAACTTCCTGCATTTTTTCAAAACACCCAAACTTTTAGGGCATGAATGATCATCTGTTATCAAAGGTATTTTAAAAAAAAATTCTATCCTTCAGCTGTAAGGAAGAGGAGAATGGCAATCTCTGTGCTTTCAGGTGCCATATATTAAGACTTGAAAGACTGTACACCCCAGCTGACCTCAGAGCTGGATCAGTGCCCAGAAAGCAAGGTAGTCTGCAAAATATGTAGCACCCACTCATGAAATGCATTGTAAAGCTGAACTAATATTTTGGATTATCTCCAGGCAGACGCTGGAAACCGTGGATGTCCTGGCATAAGAAGCTCCTTGTGTTTCTTTTTACAGTTTGGGGGAATTTTAGCAGCGGGTTCACAACAACGAGTACAATACCCATGCTGATTTGCAAATTACCAAAATTGACATCAATTAATTGAGATTTCCACCATGTTCTTCTTTCAATATTCAGACAGATGTGTCGAAGCAGAAGCAAAGTGGCTCTCTTCTGCACTAAAGAAGGTAAGACAGAAGTGCATATAAAATATAAAAAGATTTTTTTCAAGCTGTCCTAAATTACTTTAACAAATGCCAATGTTTAGTGCAGATTCATTCGGAAGTTTGACTAGAGTTCTACAACATCCAGTTTTGCATTGGTGGTTATTTTTTCCCTACTCTATTCAGTTTCATCAGCTGTTCCTGTTTTTTGACTATGAGGCTGTGTATTGCAGTAGCCCAGTCCTGCTCCCACAAAATGAATTTTGTCA